CGGCGGGAAATTTGAACGGTGTTGATGGTATAGCTGAATGGTGGACGGCGGGGTCGGGTGCGTTGGTAATCACCTATGTCGCAAATGAGGTTAGATAGATAGTCGTTCAGTGAAGGTGTTGTCGTAGCGGTGATATGCAAGAAGTACTGCTCGCGGGGGTGTCAACGAGTTAATATTGGCCAACGATAACAGCGGTGACCCTGGAACACTGTTGTCACACGGTTGCAAAAGATGACAGGTTATCTCTTAATTTTCGTAAACAACGATTTTTCTAAAGTGGTAAAAACAGGTCGAAATTTTAAATACCTATGAATCACCGCAAATTATCTTGTCAGTTATCTGCTGCGAACAAAACATGCTCAGCTCAGACTTATCTAAAAAGTGGTGGGAAAATCGATATTATAAAAATATTTATGAATCACCGCAAATTCTCTTAGACGTGCTCTTATCAGTTCAGACTTAGTTAAAACTGGTGGGTAAAATCGAGATTATAAATACCTATGAATCACCGCAAATTACCTTGTCAGTTATCTGCAGTGAACAGACGTGCTCAGTTCAGACTTAGCAATTCCCAACGCTCCTCCGTGGCCATTCCCCTTACCCTCTCGCGAGTGCGCGCATGCGCATGCGGCTCGTTCTGGTCTATAGACATATGATCGCTAATGATCTTGAACAAAGATGTCCTGATACACGAACCGCCAGAGGTACATCAGAAGTAATGTTAGTATTGTGTGTGCGTGTTTTTTGAACACGCTAAGTCGTGATGTACATCACGTGACGTACGTCACGTGACCTACGTGACGTGCGTGTGACAGGTGACGTACGTGTGACAGGTGACGTGCGTCACGTGACACGTGACGCACGTGGCGTACGTCACGTGACACGTGACGTGCACACTTTGTTCAAAAATACCAAAAAGCTGTCTTGATAGCCCGAACCGCCAGAGGTACAACATCAGAAGTAATGTTAGTGCGTGGTTGAGGTTCAAAAACTTAGCGTGTTCAAAAAAAAAACGTACCTAGACCAAAAGTCATTCTAGACCAGTCACTCTAGACCAAAGCACAAAAAAAAAACGCCGTTTTTCAACGCCTTTTTTGTCACCATTCCCCTTAGTAGCGCGCATGCACATGGGGCTCGTTCTGCTGGTGCTGGTGCTGGCGCGGGCGTAGATAGCGTTTGTGGTAAGGGTTGGGGGTAGGTCTTGTTCTCTTATCGCGCACGAGTAAGTTTGTTTGTTGTGTACCATAGGATAGTGGTAAGAGAACAAGACCTACCCCCAACCCTTACCACAAACGCTATCTACGCCCGCGCCAGCACCAGCACCAGCAGAACGAGCCCCATGTGCATGCGCGCTACTAAGGGGAATGGTGACAAAAAAGGCGTTGAAAAACGGCGTTTTTTTTTGTGCTTTGGTCTAGAGTGACTGGTCTAGAATGACTTTTGGTCTAGGTACGTTTTTTTTTTGAACACGCTAAGTTTTTGAACCTCAACCACGCACTAACATTACTTCTGATGTTGTACCTCTGGCGGTTCGGGCTATCAAGACAGCTTTTTGGTATTTTTGAACAAAGTGTGCACGTCACGTGTCACGTGACGTACGCCACGTGCGTCACGTGTCACGTGACGCACGTCACCTGTCACACGTACGTCACCTGTCACACGCACGTCACGTAGGTCACGTGACGTACGTCACGTGATGTACATCACGACTTAGCGTGTTCAAAAAACACGCACACACAATACTAACATTACTTCTGATGTACCTCTGGCGGTTCGTGTATCAGGACATCTTTGTTCAAGATCATTAGCGATCATATGTCTATAGACCAGAACGAGCCGCATGCGCATGCGCGCACTCGCGAGAGGGTAAGGGGAATGGCCACGGAGGAGCGTTGGGAATTGCTAAGTCTGAACTGAGCACGTCTGTTCACTGCAGATAACTGACAAGGTAATTTGCGGTGATTCATAGGTATTTATAATCTCGATTTTACCCACCAGTTTTAATTAAGTCTGAACTGATAAGAGCACGTCTAAGAGAATTTGCGGTGATTCATAAATATTTTTATAATATCGATTTTCCCACCACTTTTTAGATAAGTCTGAGCTGAGCATGTTTTGTTCGCAGCAGATAACTGACAAGATAATTTGCGGTGATTCATAGGTATTTAAAATTTCGACCTGTTTTTACCACTTTAGAAAAATCGTTGTTTACGAAAATTAAGAGATAACCTGTCATCTTTTGCAACCGTGTGACAACAGTGTTCCAGGGTCACCGCTGTTATCGTTGGCCAATATTAACTCGTTGACACCCCCGCGAGCAGTACTTCTTGCATATCACCGCTACGACAACACCTTCACTGAACGACTATCTATCTAACCTCATTTGCGACATAGGTGATTACCAACGCACCCGACCCCGCCGTCCACCATTCAGTTATACCATCAACACCGTTCAAATTTCCCGCCGTCTGATCCACCAATCAGAGCACCCCGGTCCCAAAAACTTCTGTCTGACCGACCTGTATGGCTGAGCGACCAATGGGTATCACCATTTTAGGACACGTCTTGCTATATACGACAAGGTCCGTGTCTCCCACGAGCAATTCCACACACACCTCCCATGTGAATGGAGCTTATTTCGATCTGACGTTATACCGTCGGTTCATCGACCCGTCGGTAGGGCCCCAAAAATTTCTATCGACCCCTGTATGTGGGTCACTCTACGACACCAGTGCGACATCGACACCATCTAGCGCTTAGAGACACAACTCACACTTATCAATGATACACATAACGTTTGACAGATGACGTTTGTGTGTAGCGTCATCTAGCGGCGAGAACCACAGACTATCAGGTGATGGGTAACCTGTCGGGTATTTCATTTCAGGCTACTGCAAGATGGCATATCTCAGCTATTTTACGAAAATTGAAGTTAAAATTTTAATCACTTTCTATTTATCATTAGACCTATAACCTGTAAATGTATGCTAAAATTATAGCACTCCGGTCGGTGTTGCCTTAGAAATACTATGAATTTTTCTTCCAAGAATCGCCCTCGAATTCTATCTGTTTTTATTATTGTCTTGCGTAAGACTTGCTATACATACCTAAATTGGGTTACAGAAACATTTCTGCTTCATCCCACATTCCCAGTTTATCGTAGTATTTAACTATTTTAAAAAAGTAAATGTCATAAATATTAATACTAATATAAACGTAACACTTTTCAACAGTTCATCTTCAAACGAAGACATTTGTGGTTTAATATTCACGAAGGAAAGATCAACTGCCAAAAATATTGCACCATGTACTGAAAGATTTGAGTGAACATGTACCAGAGTTCAGACATATAAAGCCGGATTTCGTTGTGGGATATAACGGAAACTCTTTTAATAGCACCGTAGAATCACTTCCGATTAATAAGAAGAACAGATAAGTACTTGATCGTTTTTAGAAACAAGGAGATTAACATTTTAGTGGCGCCAAATGTAAGAGAAGGTGTAGATATACCAACTTGTACTATGGCTGTCAGGTAATTTTATTCACTAGTTTCTCATTGATTCGCTTGAATAAATCAAGATATGCTAGAGGAAAGCTCGTCACCGATAAATTGCATATAATCACTAGCTCAAGCATTCTAGCCAGATCTTTGCATATCAATTAAAATTAAGTTTGAGTCACTGTTCGTAGGCTCTAGGGTACGAACGCAGCATCGGTTTCGACCGAATTTGGCCAAAAATGCCCCTTCGACGACACATTTGGTCGTAGGCTCATGAACCCTACGGGCAAAGGTTTGGAAAAGATCTGGTCGCGTACCAAGCGGACATAAACATGGTCAGCGTATGAAAAATACTTTTTCCTCAACAATTAAACAATTACATGGCTTCTACAATATCTGATTGTTACTTTCTACCATATTCTATCCGTAATTTCAACAAGAATATTAAGTGACTCTACTTTGTTGCATTTTGTTTTTTTTGCTAGCGCCATAGTCTAACCTTTTACATGCACAAAAATAGAGGACCCACTGGTAAATTGTCGATACGGCTGACCAAAGAACTGAGGAGATTATAAGTAACTATTCTAAATTAAGTATATTTCGGTGTTTACCCTGTATCCCCTACCATTTATAATATATTATTTTGATTTTTTAATTGTATAATTTTAAAAATATCTGCATTTTAATAGTACATATGTTTTATTATCAACTTTGTAGATTAATGTATGGTCTTATCGTGAAACTGCTTTTGCAGTAACTATTATTTCCGTTATAACGGTGGGAAGCAAATATGTGTTTTCATATCCCAACGAATGTCAAAGGAAACAGTATTATCGGATACCAGCGCTGATAGATATTATGCCTTTTCAGTATGTGTTTTTTTCTGTAGCCTTCGGTTGTCTCTGGTGCTGTTTCGAAGTTCTATGAGGTTATCGTGCTTCTCAATTTTTTCGGTGCTCATAAAAAATAGTATAGCTATTATCGAAAATATAGTTTTTATTTCTACTTTTCGTAATAACCATTTACGTAGTGATACGAAGTTCTACATGGTTATCATGCTTCTCAATTTTTCGTGCCCGTGCAGTACAGTGTTGGTACCCGTGCAGTGCAGTGCCCAACACGTAAGATAGTAAAATGATTATTATTGTAAAAATAGGAATTCAAAACTCTATTTTATTAGTAATAATCGATTACTTTTACGTAGTTTCCTCTCTACACTGCTTATGAATCTGCTGTATTTTTTATTTTCCAAGATATGTTTTTTTGTGATTATACAAAGTTCCACATGGTTACACTGCTTCTCAATTTTTTTGGTGTATATTACTGCAGGCGTTTAATAATAACAATGCATACTTTTAAATATTTTTATATGGAGAAAAAAGGCTGAACAATTTCGGGTGCAAAAATATTTTTCAATTAGGCGGGAAATAAAAAACAAAAAATCATTTGCATACATTTTATTTTACATGTTTATTAAAAAATATTTACATACATTAATAAATCAATACTTTATTTTCTTAAATCCAAATGGTACAGAGGTATGATCTTCATAGAATTTCCTTTTCATTGAAGTTATCTTGTATACCTTAGGAAACTCGACTGTTACTACTGCATGCTCTCTTGTACGTCGTAGCTGTCGAGAAAGTACAGAAACAGGATCAGATTTCTTCAGCACCATGTCTTTTATTTTCTCAAAATTGACTACTTGGGATGCCTTGTAGTTGAGTGATATGCCTTTTACTTTACATACGATCTGTTCCTCTCCAGACAAAGTAGTATATTTGTAGGCGTAGTTCTTAGGTCCTCCAGAAACAAACTCTGATATGAAACCCCCATTGAGCTCATCGGTCATATCACCTATGAAGTCGCCTGTAGATATGTCGTCTAATCCCTTACGAGAGATATAAATACATGAATCTGTATCTACGTAAACTGCCCTTTCTTCCACTTTCTCCAAGAATGAATATAATTTTAGTCTAGCTAGGGCCGTGACATATGAAGCCAATACAACGTTAACCGTTGAAGAAACGTCATAGGCCTCTTCTCTAAATTCCCAAGTTATGAGAAGGGTTTCTTCGTTTACCGGGAGAACTGTATTTACATGAATAGAAGGATTAGTCAGCATATCAAAGAATTCACCACAGTCTCTGACTATTGAGGTTTTGTTTTGGTTTTCTTTTTGAGCAAATTTACCCCAAAAGGAATTCAGCATAAGTTTAGCTAACGATCTCAAACAGGGGTTCTCTATAATTTTTGAAAATTCCAGCTTTATGTCTTCTCTATCCAAAAATGCATCAATATAACGGTTTTTTTCTTCATCCGTTAAGCAATGTTTGGGCCATCCTGAAGCTTGTTGTTTTATTTGTAGAAACTTGTTCATCATTCCGCTAAATAACCCCTCTTGGTCTTTACTGAGCTGAATTGTATCGTATTCCCATATTTCGTAAGTCTCTATAATCTGGTAACCTTTTTCAATAGCTTTGAGCACCTCTTCTATCACCCAAGTTCCTTTTAGGCTTCTTTCTTGAATAGAATGCTGACACTCTTCTCGAACGAAATCTTCACCACATTTTTGACAGTTAACAAACATCAATTTGTTGTTCATTTTTGACGGTAAAACGGGGTGATATAAGTTCTGGTTCGGTAGAATCTGGCATTTAATAAGTCCTGACATCTGCGACAGAGAGGCTGTAACACATTCTTCACCTACGTAAATTTTTTTTGGATGACCCACCGGAAATTTTCCATATTTACAGATGAAGGGGTACAGGGAACATATATCGACATATTTTATGCATTCATTTGTTTTGATCTTGTAGTATTCAACGATATTTTCTGTACGTCCCCCGTAGAGAGCGTCTCTGGGGTTAATCGGTAAATTGATTATCAATGGATGTGCTTCTGTGAAGGCTCTAATTTCATCGTTTAGCATTCCTCGAAATTGACATTCCCATATCTCAATTACTTCTAGTCCAAGGCTTTGGAGTCTCTCTACTTTGCTAACTGATTGTTCGTATCGACCTTCCAATGTATTCAACGGATCATTATGCAGAGGATTGCTTCTGTTGTATTTGAAACATCGAGGGCAACCGTGAAAATAGCATCCTTGGAATTCAAACACTTGATTTGTGTCGCTACAAAAACCGTCTACTTTATGTCCCTTAACAATGGTTTCTATACCCTTAGCGGCGTGTTGAATTTTGATTCCTCTTTGATGTTCCTCCCACAACAGCCATTGGATGGCAATTTTTGACTGATTTTCACGCCATCTATAGCCCCCTTTTGGAATTACCCCGATCGTCTCAGGTTTTAAAAAATTGCGTCTAAAGACTTTGTTACAGCATGATGCAATAGTGGTGCTTTCCTGGAAGGGATCGACTGTGGTTTCGGTTTTCATCAGGTCTCGAAATTTGAGACACGCCTGTGTCAATATTTCCACATCGGAGATACAGTATTCAACGATTTCTTTCTGAAAATCAAAAACGTATCCCTCCGCTTGTCTTTCGCCATGCCATTTTAATAATTTTTCCCGAGCGTCTTCCTTTAAATGGTCGGGATCGTAGAAGTCGAGCGCTGGAATTGGCCCTACATAATTCTGATGAGCCAAAGTGTTGAATAAATGTGGAAAGTATCCTTTCTTTAGCTCTTTCAAATCAAACGCCTTGGGTAGAGCAGTTAGAGGCATAGGAAAATAATTGAGAGAATCCAGAAATTTTACATTTCCTACCTCCATCAATATTAATTTTGTTCCTCTCATAATTACATTCGGGTACAGACTAGTCTTCTCTAAAATGTAACGAAGTAGAAACTGATGATCAAATCCTCCACCATTATGCGCCAGTACAATGACTTTCTTGAATTTTTTACGAAGTGTCAGAATATGATGCATAAATGGAGAAATGACGTCTTGACATCGAAGAATCTGTAATCGAAGGCCACATTTCTTGCATATAGGATTATCGGTACATGATTCACAACATTGTTTGAATACACATAGATTTGGCTCATGCAGTAAAGATCCATTGGGTAATTCCTTCTCCTGACGGGTTTCCAAATCGTAAAATATTAATAAGACATCATTTGATTTAGGAATACTTCTGTCAGGCTGTATATAGCACATATGTTCAATTGGTTGATTTTTATAACATGTTTTACAAAGTATATATCCGCAGATGTGATCATTACCGTTGTGAACTTTAAAACAGTCTACACATCTTTTAATTTTAGAACAGACCGATGGTAAATGAGCGTTAAAACATTCTTGTCCATAAAAGCTTCTATTACATTCTTTGCATTTGATGTGCTTCGTTTTCAGGCAGGCCGGAGATCTTTTACAAGCATAACATTGTTTATCACATCTATGAATTTGTTTAGTATTATACGGAATGTGGCAGTTCTCACAAAAAAAGCTGCAGCAAAAGGCAGCAGTGAGGGATGTTATGACGCTGTAGTGCCCCTCGTGATATATTATACCCTCTCCAGACTCACGCGCGAATCACGGCGTGAAATCGCGGCTCGGATCGCGGTGCGAATCCCGAAATTTCTTCCTACAGTTCCACACTCGCAGATGTTCGCGCCTGCTTCACAGTATAGTTCGCGGTCTTGACGAGTATGGATGGTGAAATTGCTACTGCTGCTGCAGTGCTACTTTGCGCTTTGGCATTTTATAATTACGCATATATAAGTAAAACTAGAGCAATTGAAAATAAGTGGAAAAAACACAACCACTCCCGACACTCGCTATGAGGCAACTGAACCACCAGCGAATGTGGAGCCTAGTCATGTTCGCGCTTTGCGAACCCTTTGTCGCGGGACAAAAAACCGACAACAAACGGGAACAACGCGCGAACGCGACGTGAAGCCGCGAAGAATACGCGAATGGGATCCACACTCATGGATCGCGGGTAGTTCGCGGCTTCGCGCGCGAATCGCGCGTGAGTCTGGAGAGGGCATTAGGTTAAGCGTCGGACCAGCGGACACGCCTTCAAAAATGACGTCACGACCTTTGCACCCAAACTTGTATACAACAATTTTGTAGTTTTGCAGATATCGTTGTAGCTTTTGAAGTTCAGGTATTCCACACCCCTCCTCAGGGATAACAATATCAGCCTTTTCCACAAGTTGTACAGCTCTTTGTCCTTGTATTTTTCCTCGATCACGGCGGATTCTGCTATAATCTTTGTCTTTGTTCAAATGGGCCATGGCGATGACAAGGGCTCGTGGGAGACACAAATTATCGGTGTTTTTAACGGTGATAATGCCTTTTCTTTTGGCGCATTCCTCATCAAAGGTATTGAAATTCTGAGCTCTACCACGACCAGCAGGAAACCTTACGGACGTAATACCCAAGCAAAAAGTCTCGGTATTCAACCCCACAGAATTTGACTGATAGATGGAAGATATCTTCTCCCATATGTCCTCAGTTGAAACGTCGGAAAACAATTTAAAAGCTATCCATCCTTGACCGCGGGTAAAGTCTTTGGAACAGAAAGTGAATCCAACTTGATCACTGGGCTGGAGATGTTCAGTTCCTTTGGCTACTATTTCCTCCAGAGCGTCTTTGATCCATCCCACAGGTTCGACGTCTTTAGGGATAGGTCGTATTTTAAATTCCACTTCTCGCCCATATAGATTAAATTTTTTAATCTTCTTAGTAGAATCCTTAACGATGAAGAATTTTTCCATTTTTTAAAAACTAAAACGTTAACTAGCGACTAAATCTGAACTGAGCACGTCTGTTCGCTGCAGATAACTGACAAGATAATTTGCGGTGATTCATAGGTATTTATAATCTCGATTTTACCCCCACCACTTTTTAACTGACCACAGTGTTTCAAGGTCACCGCTGTTATCGTTGGTCAGTATTAACTCGTTGACAGCCTGCGCTTCCTGCCCATTCACCATGCTTAACAGCCCCGCCCGGTACTTCTTGCATATCACCGCTACGACAACACCTGCCCTGAACCTAACCTCATTTGCGACGTAGGTGATTGCCTTGTTGAATTTATTAGATACACAATATAGACTGTACTATGTTTTCAATATTGTATCAATGTTAAAAATTAACTAACATTAACTGTATGCACCACATATATGAGCAATTCCATTTTTATATGCACACTGAATATGACGTGTTGATTATTGAGATCATCCTATACGCATTGTTTCCCGCGAATTTTATACGTTTCTCCATTTAAACTGAATCCGCAGAATTGCATCTATAAATATCATTATTCATGGGCTTTTATCGATCTATATGCAAATATTTACCGCAAAACATGAAATGAGTCACATCGCTTACGCATAGACGTTATACTACACCTTACTATCGTCGGCTGTCTGAATCACTTCCGGTCGGGTGCGCCATCTAACGGGGCCCGCCAATCAACATATACCATCAACCCGTTCAAACTTCCCGCCGTCTGATCCACCAATCAGAGCACGCGGTGGATCTAGCGGTTCCCGCCAATCAACATATACCATCAACCCCGTTCAAATTTCCCGCCGTTTGATCCGCCAATCAGAGCACGCGGTGGATGTGGTGGGCGTGGCCAAAAAGTGGAAGTGGTGGGGGGCGCCCAGAGTGCACCAGTATCTACGTAACACTTTTCAACAGTTCATCTTCAAACGAAGACATTTGTGGTTTAATATTCACGAAGGAAAGATCAACTGCCAAAAATATTGCACCATGTACTGAAAGATTTGAGTGAACATGTACCAGAGTTCAGACATATAAAGCCGGATTTCGTTGTGGGATATAACGGAAACTCTTTTAATAGCACCGTAGAATCACTTCCGATTAATAAGAAGAACAGATAAGTACTTGATCGTTTTTAGAAACAAGGAGATTAACATTTTAGTGGCGCCAAATGTAAGAGAAGGTGTAGATATACCAACTTGTACTATGGCTGTCAGGTAATTTTATTCACTAGTTTCTCATTGATTCGCTTGAATAAATCAAGATATGCTAGAGGAAAGCTCGTCACCGATAAATTGCATATAATCACTAGCTCAAGCATTCTAGCCAGATCTTTGCATATCAATTAAAATTAAGTTTGAGTCACTGTTCGTAGGCTCTAGGGTACGAACGCAGCATCGGTTTCGACCGAATTTGGCCAAAAATGCCCCTTCGACGACACATTTGGTCGTAGGCTCATGAACCCTACGGGCAAAGTCTTTGGAACAGAAAGTGAATCCAACTTGATCACTGGGCTGGAGATGTTCAGTTCCTTTGGCTACTATTTCCTCCAGAGCGTCTTTGATCCATCCCACAGGTTCGACGTCTTTAGGGATAGGTCGTATTTTAAATTCCACTTCTCGCCCATATAGATTAAATTTTTTAATCTTCTTAGTAGAATCCTTAACGATGAAGAATTTTTCCATTTTTTAAAAACTAAAACGTTAACTAGCGACTAAATCTGAACTGAGCACGTCTGTTCGCTGCAGATAACTGACAAGATAATTTGCGGTGATTCATAGGTATTTATAATCTCGATTTTACCCCCACCACTTTTTAACTGACCACAGTGTTTCAAGGTCACCGCTGTTATCGTTGGTCAGTATTAACTCGTTGACAGCCTGCGCTTCCTGCCCATTCACCATGCTTAACAGCCCCGCCCGGTACTTCTTGCATATCACCGCTACGACAACACCTGCCCTGAACCTAACCTCATTTGCGACGTAGGTGATTGCCTTGTTGAATTTATTAGATACACAATATAGACTGTACTATGTTTTCAATATTGTATCAATGTTAAAAATTAACTAACATTAACTGTATGCACCACATATATGAGCAATTCCATTTTTATATGCACACTGAATATGACGTGTTGATTATTGAGATCATCCTATACGCATTGTTTCCCGCGAATTTTATACGTTTCTCCATTTAAACTGAATCCGCAGAATTGCATCTATAAATATCATTATTCATGGGCTTTTATCGATCTATATGCAAATATTTACCGCAAAACATGAAATGAGTCACATCGCTTACGCATAGACGTTATACTACACCTTACTATCGTCGGCTGTCTGAATCACTTCCGGTCGGGTGCGCCATCTAACGGGGCCCGCCAATCAACATATACCATCAACCCGTTCAAACTTCCCGCCGTCTGATCCACCAATCAGAGCACGCGGTGGATCTAGCGGTTCCCGCCAATCAACATATACCATCAACCCCGTTCAAATTTCCCGCCGTTTGATCCGCCAATCAGAGCACGCGGTGGATGTGGTGGGCGTGGCCAAAAAGTGGAAGTGGTGGGGGGCGCCCAGAGTGCACCAGTATCTACTTGCATATCACCGCTACGACAACACCTGCCCTGAACCTAACCTCATTTGCGACGTAGGTGATTGCCTTGTTGAATTTATTAGATACACAATATAGACTGTACTATGTTTTCAATATTGTATCAATGTTAAAAATTAACTAACATTAACTGTATGCACCACATATATGAGCAATTCCATTTTTATATGCACACTGAATATGACGTGTTGATTATTGAGATCATCCTATACGCATTGTTTCCCGCGAATTTTATACGTTTCTCCATTTAAACTGAATCCGCAGAATTGCATCTATAAATATCATTATTCATGGGCTTTTATCGATCTATATGCAAATATTTACCGCAAAACATGAAATGAGTCACATCGCTTACGCATAGACGTTATACT